GGTCGAAGACAATGGCTATTTCGATGGAGGGGTAAGTCTTATATTTTTCTTATATTTCAATTTGATTATTTTTTTTAAATTTATGTAAGTCACTAATATATGCCTTTTTTTGTAAAATAGCATATCGATGCGTGGGTGTCACGTCTTTTAATAATTAGGAAACTTAAGGAAAATAAAAGAAATACACGATATACAATTATGCCGATGTCTTTTAACGTCGTTCACTTGAAGAATCAACGAGATAAATCATTTGCGTTGGGCAATGGACAAGCTAAACTTTATCTTGCATGGTGGGAGGTCGATAAGGTTAGTATTTATTTTAGATTGAGTTTAAAGGTATTCATAAATAAGTGCGCAAATGAATGAATTATTACTTATGATTGCAGGTGTTTATCCCTGTTTTGGAATGTAAACATTGGCTTTTCGTCGAGCTTCAGCTCCCATCCCTTAAGTCAATAGTATATGACAGCATGATAAATTACATATCATTGGCTGATTTAAGAGATTATTAAGGGATGGAGCTCTCATTTGGCTAAATTCTTGGATGCGATAAATTATTGGACTCGTTCCGGAAACAAGAAGCCAAAGAAGCTCAATATTACAGTTAGCAGAGACGAGACCGCACCACAACAAACGAAAGGACCCAGAGGGGATTGTGGTCCTCTCATATGCTTGGCGTTGGAGCGTTTGATCACAGGAAGTATAAAGTATCTACCTCCCACTAATAGAGATAGAGCTGCAATAGGCTTGTGGTTTCAGCATTATATGGCTAGGTCGATATATACGAGACGTTGCCTACCTGCATCCGTGTTATAAAAATGTCCATAAACAATTGGTAAGTTTATAGGCTTTTGGTTTGAAAATGTTTGGTTAAGTACCTAGAATTCAATAATTTGCTGTTTGTAGGTTTTAGATGTGTAGAAAGTGTTGTTTGAGCAAATGTTTGGTTTCTGCAGGTTAATCTCATAAGTGAGCTGCTTGAAAATGATGTATGCCTGTAAAAGTTGATTCAATAGTAGATGAGGAAATAAGAATTATTGCTTATTTTTTTATTGTTTAATTGATTTGTAAAAGATGATTTGTAAAAGTTGATTTGTTTAATTGATGTGAACATAATTCTTATTTGTGCTTGTTTAATTGATTGAAATGTAATGGTTGATTTTGTTGATTTCAATCTGCATTATGTTGAAGGAAAAAATGACTATCGCAATGCGAAATGAAAATCGCAACGAGAGAATCGCAACGCGAAACTAAATTCGCGTTGCGATTTTCATTTCGCTTTGCGATTCCCTCGTTGCGATTTTCATTTCGCATTGCGATTCTCTCGTTGCGATTTTCATTTCGCGTTGCGCTTGAATCATCTTGGTTTAGATGAAGAGAAACTTTTATAACATGGCCACACGGATAACCAGATGTTTGCCATTTCATACAACTACACGTCTTTGCATTTAGATCGACAAACCCATTTAAGTTATTATCCAGTACTTCAAACAAAGTGTTTGAACATGGTTCAACTCTCCATGACGTTGACTTCACAACACGTTTCGTTATCTTTTTTTCTGTCCATAGTGTAACACGATGTTCCAATGTTCCTGTAAATTTAAATAAATAATACTTAGTAAAATATATGATAAGTTACGAATTTAAAGAAATAATACCTGCATGGTTTCTTTTCTTGTAGTACCACTGTTGAATAGAGGCTCGAAAAAACTCCATTAACATAGTAATGGGTAATTTCCGGGAATGATGACTTAGAGCGTTGATTGATTATGCACTATTAGACGTCATGAAACCATATCTTGCTCCAAGTTGATGTACTCTTGACCATCTTTCAAACCCGACATCTTCTAGTGTTTGAGCACACTGAGGCAAAACACGTCTTAAACATTTTATATGCTTATTAAAATCCACTTCCCGATAAGCTTTTACAGCCTTCCAGTATGTCCATTTGTGATTTTTTTATACCAGCAAACCTTGATTTTAGATTTCTATACAAATGAACACCACAAAGTCCATGAAAAGCATCTGGGAAACACCTTCTAACAGCGTTGTCAATTGAGTTTGCCCAATCGGATATGATTGTCAGATTACTAATAGGACCTATGCAATCCCTAAGATGCCCCATAAACCATGTCCATGAATCAAAGGTTTCAGATTTTCCAACCCCGTAAGCTATTGGCAGTATCCCATTGTTAGCATCCATGGCTACTGCTAATAAGTTTACTCCAAGGTATCGACCTTTTAAATGTGCTCCGTCAATTATAATAACTGGGCGCATGCAATTAATAAACGAACGAATCTACAAAATCATATACACAAGAAATATAATCATTTAAATGTGAAATGCATGTAACTAACAAAAATGAGTCAACAAAATTATATTGATTTACTAACCGCAGCACCAATGGCGATAAACAACAACTCAAAGCGTCCATCTCTATCTGTTTTGATATGAGTTACCGACCCAGGATTTTTCAGCTTTAAATTGTGACAATAAGCCGGCAGTTAGGCAAACGATGCTTCTGGCGACCCCCTCAACAATTTCAAGGCATAACATTTGACTCTCCAAGCTTGAGAATATGAGATACTAATCTTGAACCGAGCATTCATGTCAGTCATAATTTCATGTCCCCGATATACCCTACCATTCAAAAACATTAACTCAGCCAGAAAACCACCCAAGACCTTTTTGTTTGCCTGTCTATGGTGAGGAAAAACTTGGGTTCTTGAACATGTATGTTTATCAATAAAAGTCCTAACTTGAAACATTTCGCAATCTTTTATCCTCTTTGCAATCATATGCCACATACAGTTTTTGTCAATCATACACCTTGTTTCGAAACGATCTTTGCTTGATTTGTTAACTTTTAGTTGATAGCCATCTTCCACACATTTCGTATACAAAGCTATCTTCAAGTCTTCCTTTATATCAAAACAATCATCTTTCTTGATACGAATAATTTTTGTGTGACAATCAACTGCTATCTTTACCAACTCTTCTTCCGGTATCTGAAGTAATTCTGGCATATTCCAGTTATACTCCCGTGGCATTTTCTTCGGGGACTTTTCTTTGGGGATTTCTTATTCTTCTTTTTCTTTTTCAGTGTTATATGAATTACAGAATGGATGTTCAACATGTTCATTTACAATTGTAACTTCCTCCTCATTATCATCAACAACATCTTCCTCGGCAAGTTTCATCATTAAAATTCGGGTATTGACCAATATCAAAATCATTACACGCAGGGTCTGTTTCTTCTTCTGAAAAATCATCAAAATCCGAGTATTGACCAAGATCAAAGTCCGGGTATTGACCAAGATCAAATTTCGAATACTGACTAGTACTCACAATTTTTTTTGTTGGCTCATCATCGTCTAACTGGTCAATACGAAAACCGGAATTTGGTGCTGAAAGTTGATTGGGATTTGGATTAGGGAAAGTTGTGGGTTTTGAGATTGTGTTTGGTATTGGAAATGTGGTGAAACAATATTTGCTTGGTGATGAAATTGTGGTGGAACCATTAAATTTTGAGTACCATAAACTGGGGTTGAAAAACTTAGTTGATTACTACCCGCTACTGACCCAACTTCACTACTTCTAGGTTCAACAACATACAATGTAACATCATGAAACACTAATGTAAGCAATGAATCATTCAACATCTTCATTGTCGGTTAACAAATAAACTTTACCATTTCTCTGATAAGATAGCCTAAATCCACTTAGGGGCTCTAAATTCAATTTATTTGCAACACGTAACATTAGAGCTTCATAAGTTAACTTTTTTAATGACAGTTTTAGTTGAAGATTCATGGGTAAAGATGTATATTGTAAAACACCATGAACATTCTCCCATGACCCTCCAAAACACAAATTTATCCAAACATGATCAACATTAGATGATTTCATTATTGTAAATTAATTTACTAAACAAACGAGCTGCGAAACTAAAACATGTTGCCGGATGGGGAAGGATGTCGTTGGATATAGGAACGGATGTCGCCGGAGAGAGTGATAGATGGAGATGGAATGAGTTGCGATTTAGGGATTTAGGTTATGAGTTGCTGCTGTTGCGTATTTATATACCCAAAACATTTGTGTTGCGAAATTAAAACCTGTTGCGAATTCAGAAATCGAGTTGCGAATTTGAAATTCAGTATTGTGATAGTCAGAATCTCGTTGCGATTTACTAAATCGCATTGCGATTTACGTATTCGCATTGCGAATTAGGAAAATCGCAACGTGAATTTGGGAAATCGCAATGCGATAGTCAGAATCGCATTGCGAATCTGGAAACTGATTTGCGATACCGAAGATCGCGTTGCGAATTATCGATCGCATTACGATTTAGTTGGTCATTTTGACAAATCCAAAAAAAATTTGTTAAAATCGTATATTATAAGACATTTTTTATCACTGAAGTTATTTTTTCTATTAAAAATTATGGCGATAGTTTGATCAAGTGTGGTGTTGCTTTTGTCAGGAAGGTGATTTGAAAATAGTAAAGGTGGCTAGATGTTTAAAAAAATGGAAAGTAGAAAGCTTTTGGAACTAAATTTGATATAAAAAAAACATTAATCAACGACCTATTTGACGTTTTAGCACAAGTTTAGGAATAAAACTAAATATTAACACAAGTTTAGGAATAAAACTAAATATTAACATTTTCTTAACGAATGATGGTGGAGACCATTTTATTATAAATCAATAACATTAATGACCATTTTATTACAAACCGATAACATTAGTGATCATTTTGTTAGAAATCGATAACATTAGTGATCATTTTGTTAGAAATCGATAACATTAGTGATCATTTTGTTATAAATCGATAACATTAGTGACCAATTTGTCACTTTTGAAACTTCAGTAAGAAAAACAAAAATTTACTCGATCATTAATGACCATTGATGTAGTTTACCCAATAAATTATAAACTATAAAATAACTCAAAAACTGAGGGTTTAAAACATAATTGTAACTTACGACACACAATTTGCGTTCTGTGCCTTTGGCAAAAATCCAACGGTTGATGCTGGAGAGTTCCAACTTCCAACAGTGATCAAACTCTCAAACAACAAAACTGATCGAATTCAAAGTAGACAACGGCGCAGCCTGATGTAAAAACTGAACACGAAAGAATTTTGCGAAGAAGAATTTATGGACAATGAGTACCGCTTCAAAAATCGGACAGTTTAGAAGGCATAAACTTTGTGACTCACGCGGAGGGCCTTTGGCATGCAGAAAACAATTGCCAACTAACGAAAGCCATCACCAAAGATGTGAATAATTCAAAGCCTATCACCTTCGGAAAGTGCCATTCCAATTCTCGCCTTAGGTAGCTGCCCAAGGAAAATCGTTTTCATTTGAACATTTAATGCAAAGACCACTTATATAATCTAATATAGAATGCCCATCGGAAGGGTTAAATTATGGGAAGATGTAGAGACAAGTTAAAAACAGACCTTGTAATGGATGGCATGGTTGCAACAATTCCAGCGCATGCATATATTATAGGAATCAAAGTCTTGGGCTTGTTCTTTCGGAGCCAAATCAAAGATACTAATGCTGCAAGAGATATACTCAATACCTGAAATGAGAAAAGGATAGAGAGACGTCTATGAGAAATATTAGTGGAAATTTCACTCTTTATTAGAGAAACAGAACTCTAAAATCCTGATTTTATGCAATCATTATTTTAAATTTGGAAACACCTATCCTTATAAACCACCGATACAGAATCATGGATACCAACAAAGCAGTTCCAAAAACAATGTTCCAAGTCCAGCCGCTAAAGAAATAAACATACCAAATTAGCATTTGCTTCCAGGCCTTGTAGAATGTAATCCCAAGTGAATTCTAGCCCCCTTGCTCCCACCCAAAGAGGTGCCAACCTATGTAGAACAGAATCGGCAAAAGCCCATCCTATCAACATGGAAAGAAACAAACCATAGTGCCACTGAATTAAGGCAAGTGAAGAAAAAACCCAGCAACTAGTCTCCAAGTTTTCAAATATAAAACTTTTTTCCATCTATTATCACAGTTTTCAAAAATATCAGCGAAGGTTAAGTAACTCTTAACATGGGTAAAACTAGCACTAAATATTCATCAATAACAGAAATTAAGGTATTAATCCATGAATACTTCAAAATGGTGTTACAATGAGTGATCTGAATTCTGAAGCTTCTTGGACTGATCCATCTGAACATTTTATTAATATCACAATATTATTTTCTATAAAGGTCACGCCCTTAGTCATAGTAATTCACTCATCAATTGTTTAGATTATCCGATGAACGGTGACATCCTTAAGGGTCAAACCCACAAATGCAAAATGGTGCTCTTTCTTTTATCTAATTTTTATTTGGAGGGGAGTGTACTAAGAAGGGTGCAAAACTGAATTTCAACTTCAAAAACTAGAGACAAAATCTAACTCACCAAGTCCAACAGCTTGAAATTTATGATTTTGAGAGATATTCCTGTGTGTCAACTGTGTCAAGGCAAAATAAAGTCCAGCGACATCTATAAAACCAATAAATGCTTTCAAAATCTCCTGAAAAATGCACAAGTAACAAATTTCTCCATGAGTTTAAAATGTATATACTGTTCAAATGGACCTGTGACAGTATTACAATCCATATCTCTAACAGACTCTTATGCAATTGCAGTTAAGAAAGTAGTAAAAGTTTTAATATTCAATTCTAACTAATAACATCATAAAATCAAACGCCACAAACTACAACAAAAACGGGAAACCATTTACAATTAGAGCAATATATGCATTCCTCCATGTAGATTCCAATCCCAGAACAAGAAAAAAAATACCTGGTATGGATCAAAGCCATCGTTCTCAGACACCTGCAAAAATGTTGCAAGGCAAACAAGCTGCCAGGATAGAAAAATAAACAAAATAAATTAACTATTGAAAACACTTGGCATAAACACCAACGCTGATAGTTACAAGTTGTACTGACTTTCACCAAAGCTGTTCCAAGATAAACAAGGGCAGCTTTAACAGAGGTACCAAGAGTATCATACTCCGATCTGCATAAACAAACATAATTCATTATTAATTAGACTGATTTGTATACAAACAGTATTATGATTTAGTAGAAAAGAACAATTTCCTTCAACAAATTTAACTAACTAAATTTCTCAAAAATCAACTACATAATAATGCATTTTTTCACTATACCTAATTACTGCAACTTGTAGCTGTCGAATATTTTAATCAAAATCTGTTAACATAAATTTTAGAAGGTAAAAGGGTAAATTTTACCCCTGTAGTAGACCCAGTTTACCATTTTCGCCCCTATTATATTTTCGCATCAATTTAGCCATTAAAGTTGTTTAATTGTATCATTCTATACCCTACACCTAACTTAAAACACAAAATTGATAACTCTAAACCCTTAACCATAATCCCGTAACCTCTAAATCCTAAACCCTACTCTCTAACTTAAAACTCTTAATTTAGGTTTTCAATGAGGTATAGGGTATAGAATGATGCAATTGAGCAGCTTCGAGGTTAAATTGATGCGAAAAAAATGGTAAGAACGAAAATGATAAATTGGATCTAGGGCGGCAGAGGCAAAGGCTTTTGCCTTTTTAGAACTAATGCAGATAGATCTGTTCTTAAAAGAAGAGAAATATTTTTTTCCATCTATATTTTCTTTTTCCTAGTTTCAACACATATCGAAGTTTAAGTTCAAAGCATAGTTCACTTCCATGGAAATTTAAGAAATTACAGAGATTATAAAAAAGAAATATATCACAAATTACATTAAAACTAGGTAAAGGATCGAGTAAAAAGGGAGGCGAAACGTACAAAGGAGTGGCGGAGTAGTAAACGGCGTGAGGACCGAAGGTGAGTATCGCACAGTTGAAAAAGTGAAACATCGTCATTTTCCCTGTGTTTTTTTTTTGCAAGTTTCAATTTCTTTTTCGCGTTGCTTTGCTCGTCTCTTGAAGAAATTTCGCTTGAACTTAAAATCGGATTGGGAATGAGTGAGCTGCTTTTAAGTGGACCGTTATAGAGCCCGTTACATTTCCAGCCTCTAATATGCCCTGAAGAAGCTATTCAGGCTTTGGGCTAAACAACAATAAGAAAATAGGGTTATTTAAAATTAATTATAGATATTTTTTGTTATTTAAAATTAATTATAGATATTTAAAATATTAGCATATCATAATATTAACTTGCTCGTTTAAGACTACATTATATATATAAATATTTTTAAGGTGTTAATGAGTTCCAAATGGCCAAAACAATAGACGAAACACTTCATTTAGAAATTAGAATACATAGCATATCTTTCCAGGTTCCATTTACACTTGGATTTTGATTTGTTTAAATGTCTAATTTATTATCAACTCTACATATAATATTTTATGGTATTATCATATAATGTATGAAGATAACAAATGGCTTATTTCCAAACAGGAAAGCTGACCATTCTAACGTGATATGATTTTTGCACCAACTAATTATTTTCGGTAGTTAAAGGAATGATCGTTATTTTTAGAAGTCTTGAATTTGAACACTAACGACCTTATGATACTTAAGCGTTCTTCATCAAATGATTGAACATTTTTAGAATATATATTACAATTTATAATCATCCTGTATTAATAAAAAAAACGTGATATCGTTTTCATGACAGTATTTTACTAAGGAAAGTCAACATGGAATACATGAATGATGTGGTCGTCTTAACAAATAGTTTTTATTCTTCATTTTTTGGATTGGGACTACCTTCGTAGAACTTCGAAAAGCTAATAAATTTGAAACATTATTTGTTCGTGAAAGTGAAATGTTGATAATTTTGATTAATTGACGTTGACATTGTCAGCTTTAATTTTCTCACTTTCTATTAATGAGGAGTTTGACACTTTACCATGAAGAAAAAAACTTTCTGACGATAATAGAAAGAAGAACATAAAGCTTTAGTTTTTTTTTGACCTAAAAATGAAAATAAAATGTGGTCCAAAAAGGACAGTGTCACGAGAATGTTAACTAGGTACCTAAGGGATGTTTGATTCAAGGAATGTGGGATTCTCATGGAAATGGAATCCACATTCTCATATTTGGTTAGTCGATAATCTCATTCTCGGTAATGTTTTATTACCAATAGTAGATTTTTTTGGGTATATTACCGGAAATGTATTTACCTCCCTTTTCTTAGGTATTATTAGATTACCGGCGTTTTTGACTGCCCTTAATTTTTTTTCAGAAATATCATTCTTCTGTCATTGAATAATAAAATTTCTACGAATGTTAAATTACAAATTTATCCTTAAACTATTTTAGATTTACAAAAAAAATCTATAATTAAAATTTTATATGAAGTTCAGAGGTTAAAATAAATTTTACCCTTTCATTAAACCTTTTTATATTTTAAATTTTGTAAAAAATATATAAATTTTATGAATTTAATTTTTTTAAAGAAAATATATAAATATTTTACAACTTGTTAAAAAAACAAATATATAATAAGGACAATTTGGTCAAATATATATTTCAATATTCTTTTATTCCTTTAACCAAACACGATAATCTTACATTCCTGTTAAACCAATCAAACACAAAATACAACATTTCTATTAATCCTATTCCCTGGTAATCTTACATTCCCACTGGTAATCTTACATTTCGTGAATCAAACAAATCCTAATAGGAAAACAATTTTATTCCTCTTTCAATTTGCCAGAGAGAACAAATTAAATACATATTAAATAATATTTTTTTTATCTTTAAAGTTGAGAATAATTTTTTAAAATTACAAAAAATACTTAAGAAAAAATATCATTAAATATTAAAATAAACATGAGAAATATATATGGGGTTGCGTACGAGGTCACCAAGATGCAATGCGACATGTTTTAAAATTTTCCGTAGTTTAATTATATTTGAGTATTATTTATGTCCCATTTTACGATTTATATTTAAAGATAAAATATAGGGTAAAATATATGAATGGTTCCTCGACTATAGTGTGGTGCTTTGTTAAGTCAATTGACTATTAAAAGTTACAAAATAATCCTTCAACTATAGGGTATTGTTTTGTTGAGTCTCTTTACTATTAAAAGTTATAAAATGGTCACCGGACTATTTATTATGTTTCAAACTCGTCCTTTTTGGTTAAAAATTAATGGCAGTCTGAGCTGAGTGTTAATTTGTTGACTGATACATGATAGTTTTTTTTTAGATTATGGTATCAAATTTGATCATATCGCAGTCATCTGATTAACATTCAGCTCAGACTGACATTAATTTTTTTTAATGAAAAAGACGAGTTTGGAACATACTAAATAGTTAGGTGATCATTTTATAACTTTTAATAGTTGAGAGACTCAATAAAGCAACACCCTATAGTCGAATGACCATTTTGTAATTTTTAATAGTTGAGGGGCTCAACAAAGCACCACCCTATAGCTGAGGGACCATTTGTATATTTTACCCTGAAATATAATAATTAGTTTTTTAATAATATAATCTTTAGAATTCGAATATACATAGTTTCCTTTAAAATACAATATCTTATCAATTAAATTAAAAAACTTGGATTTTGTATTTCCCCAGTTGTTTTAAAAAATCTTGATCAAAGGAAAATTAATTTTGAGTAAATAAAATTTAGCCACATTTTAAATTTTACTTAAAGATCAGTCCATGTAAGGATTTTTCCCTTCTTGAAGTAAAATAATATATCTAACAATTTTTAAAGTCTAAATTATTATAACTTCTTTAATCTCTAAATTAAAAGTAATTATACTTAAACTTATTATCATCCAAATATTATATAAAACTAATTGAATTGATCTCAAATCTTTGTAGTCCCCCCCTCAAATTAAACAGTGTAATTTTTTTTCATGTTCCAATATCATTCAAACAAGAAACCATATTTAAAAAAAAAACATTTTCCGAGAATTACTTTCAGAAAAATAAATGAAATCGAAAACAACAATTTTTAATTTAGATGGGTAAGATCTTCTTTTCCTTTGTTTTTCTTTCAGTGCATTAATTCATTTTTTAATTTGAAGGAGCAGTCCAATTTTCCAGAGGCCACTGTTATATCCCAGCAAAAAACTGATAGTCTGATTGCGTGCACATGAGCTGCCAGGATTGTGGGTCATCTGATATATAAAGAATGGGCTTGAAATTTAAAATGGTGTAAATTTTGATTTATGTTCGTTAAATTAAAAATAATTTTGGATTAAAAATAATTTTCAAAATATATCTGAAACATGATATGATTTTGTTAGTATAGAATCAATAAGTTAGAAATGTTAAAACAAAATATCATTATTTGCCAAAAAAAAAGTAACAATAATAAACTAAGTCTACAAATTGGCTGGGCCAACATTTCAACGTTCATTCTGATATAGAGGGAGGGAACAGATCTGGGTATTTGCTTTCTAGTTCGGCTAATGACCAGGAATCTTGAACTCATCCATCAGCTTCAGTTTCAAACTCAACCCGATGAGGTCCCCTCTTATGACAGATTTTGACACCAGTGCCAGACAAATGCTGAAGAGAATGGTTTTCGCTTGTCAATGTAGTGTTTCATTTTCACTTTCTATTTAGTACTTCTTATGCAAACCTAGCTAGTGTCTGGTCCAGAGAGCTTGTAGTTACTATCACAAGTCAAATCAATGGCTATCCACAACTTAGAACAACGAACTCAAATTAAATCAAGCTCTTTCAATACACGAAAGCATGCTGTAAGCATCGTGTAAAATGATCATCATATTAAATTTTATTTTCTTCCGTTAGCATATGCCATATATAGTCAGCACTATATTTCGATTTCTTGATGTTATTGGCAATCGCCAAGCTGAGCTGTGGTAAGTTGACGAAACCAACCAGTGAAGCCTCTATTCTAGGATAGTAACACGGAGATCAGAATCCGAATCTGTTACACGTATGTAAGAAAAAGATAATATTTCAAGTCTCAAGGTCGGAAATCGTTTTCAAGCTTTATTTTATTCAGTTTGAGCTGGTTTCAACAGCAGTTGAAATAAATATATCGTTAGGGTTGCGTAGGTTCTGACTTCATTCACCTTAGTAAATAGAGTAGTTATACCCTTTTCACCTTTACAGCCAAGGAAAAAGGCTTGCCTACCCTTCTGATCTCTTTTTATTACATTCACCATCATTTATTAATTATTGGACCTTTTTAAATGCTAGTTTTGACCGAGTTATTGTTCTTTTCTCTTGGGTTTTTATTAATATTAAATACTGTCCCCATAGCAGCTTTTATAATTGGTAAGTAAAACCCATATTTATGTCTAATCCAAGACTTAATTGTTTTCAAATTCAAATTTATCTTCAATTATATATAAAAGAAGACACGCGTGCTTGTTATTTGTAAACTAATGAGTAATAATAACTTAGCTTTATCTTCCTTCTTCCTTTATACATCCAATCCAAGAGCTTCAAGTCTGATACAAATTAAGACAGAAGAAAATTCTACAGAAAGCAACGGAAGAGACGTGGGATAGGGAGCCAGGCAGCAACCAGGCGTTTATTCTTCTTCTTTATATATATATACTGATGTAATGTCGTGGTGCACGTAAGCCTAAACGGCATTGATTTCGGTGATTCCTTCCTTTCTCTTTTGTCTCATATATCTATTCGACCAGCTATTACTCTAAAAAGTGTGGGAGAAGGTGATACATGTGTGTGTATATATCTATGTTCAACTTTCAATGCAAACACATGCATCCATGCCCGGTTAACCTAATCTCACGAATCACCATGAAGAAGTTAATATTCTTCAAATTGGAATTAGACATTTTTTAAATCTTCAAGACAATGTAATTAGTATCAAAAGAATGAAACCAAAAAGCATGATTTGCATATCATTATTTCATCTTTAACGTTGGACTTTTATGGAACCCGTTAAGTATAGAAGGGAATATTATTCTACCTAAAAGTCTGAATTCGAGAAGTCGTATATGCAAGATAATTTGTTGGACTCTCATCTTTGCTTTGAAAATAAACAC